GTCGTTCTTTCTGCAGACGTTGAATTTACTTCATCTAATTGAATTGGTATCAATTCTGTAACCACAATCTGAATAGTTAGATGGTTTTGAAACGTCTGCATAAAATAAGCGTAGACTCTGCAGTCGTTAGAATTAACTTATACCAAATATAGATCCTTTCGGAATCAAGTACGGTGAAATGAAATCATAGATAATTGGTATAAACTATGAATCGTATGTATTCAAGACAAAACTGAGTATATACTATTTAACACGTTGACTGCCACGCGTGTTTACAACAAAATCTCCTACAGGCCACCCGTGCCGCTATAGGGAGCGTGCGCTGTTAATCCATATCTGTTTCTGTTCCTGCATGAACAGTTGGAATCTTTGCCGAGTACCGAATGGTATAACTTAAAATCTCTGCCCTTATTTGTTTTCAATAATGAAAAGAGATCGGATTGGCCGGAAGGAGAAGCATAAATAAAATTACATCGTCAGATTCTGATTTGGATACTGATAAATATAATCTTAGCGATAATGAATGTTATGAAGATACTATTGACGAGATTTTACGAGAGAATTGGTCATGGAAGAAGAAAGAAATGTTGATGATACCGAGGAAGCTACAGTTCAAATAAGAGATACGAAATGGACCGATCAGAGGCACGAGCATATCTGAAAAAACAAACAACTTTTTGTCCAAGCTGTCCTGATCAACCTCAACTTCGCAGAGAATGTTTCAATGTTATACATTGCGAATAATTTTTGTAATAAACCATTTTTATAAGAATTCAATAGTTTCATTACCTCCTGTAGAATATTTGTCGAAATATTTTCGGAAATCCTTTGCAAGTAGTCGAATCAGCGTCACCCGAATTACGGGTGACGTGGCCTGATGAGAACTTTTGCTGTCACCCGAATACGGGTGACGCGGCAGTCAACGTGTTAAAACGATAGAAAAATTCGAGAATGTTGACGCACCACTTTTAACTTGTGAAAATCATGAGGCTCCTCTGTGCCTCACGATTGATACGATTGTTACTTTGCAAAAATACTTGCAGCCTAATCATAGGAAACAGTGGACATTATACTTTCTATCTATCTGTTTGAATTATATAGCACGAACATACGGAAAGGTAGAATTAACCAGAAGGAAGAACGAGCGAACGGAAAGTTAATGTTAGCTAATGCGGAATTACGTTTCTTTGGAAGATAAAACGGCGAAGTAGCAAGAAAGATTGCGGGGAGAACGGCATGGTGGATTTCCGAGTTAACGATCAACAATGGAGATCGGTATCGAGAGCCCGGCTTCCGCGGGAAATAACTCCTCGAGTATGGGCAGAGCTAATCTCGCTAATGGCTCGAAGGAGAGACAATGATTATCGAGTCGGAATAATCAGAATCGTATCCCCGGTACCCTGACGTCACTAATGAACTGTATTATTGAACTGGAATTAATGTTTCTAGTTTATTATCGCCGGTTTGTTGATTCAGAGAGTGGCTACCATTGCGGACACACCCTACCGGCCGAAGCACACACCTCCGAATGTCGCCGAACGAACGCACTCCTTTTAATTGCTCATGTAGGATTTCATATTTTATGCATGTGAATTGGTCATATGCTCGACACCTGCAGATCGGGCCGACGCGTCACGGTCCCGCGGCCGATCGAACAACGTAAATACCGAGCATTATCACGTCGCGATAAATTATACTCGTGCACGCGTCGCTTTTCGAGAAAGAGGACAAAACGGGCAACCAATGTTTCCCCGATTCCTTGTCTCCGACGATGGAAAACACGCTGTAAATCAAGTAGGACGACCAGTTTTCGAGCGGCTATTCCTGTCCCAATGGAAACCAGTGCGATAATTGTTGTAATGGTCGCGACAATCGCGTATTTCTGCCACTCCCTCGAGCCGAACGCGTCGAAATGTGTTCGATACACATTTTCTGATTTGTGTGCCGATACCGGGGCTCGTTAATTTCGTATACATTGTGTACCGTTCGTGGATTTCTCGTGTTTTTTTTTTTGTGACAAAAGCGAATTAGACGGTGGAAAAATTGGAAGAAGTTCTGAATAAACTTAATAAAGCTGATCTAACAGGGTTCTAAATTTGCTAGCACTTATGCTAACGGCACTGACTTTTTCGTTGATGATTTTAATAAATTTAAAAATCAACTATATAACGCGTTATCAGAAGCTAGGATGATTACTTTTTGTTTGCTTTCTATATTGTAATTGTATTGTTTTCATTTTCATTTTCATTCTTATTATTATCTTATTATTATTACTATTATTATTATCAGTAGTAGTAGTATTACTATTATTAATATGTTGAATGTTTTAGAAAAATTAAAAGGGCATCTGGCCCGTTGATACTGAATAAATTAAATAAAATGAAATTAAATTGCATTAAATTAAATTAAATCGAAACTATAAAGAGAAAAAGAGATATTCCAGTTGG